GTGATTATTCTGTAATAGTAAGTGCTTTCATGAAGATGAAAACCAAAATATTTTTTAGGTGAAGCTGTGTCTAAACTCAAATATTGGCAGCATTTTCAACGTACTTTTTATTGCTAATGTTTGAAGAGCCTGAAAAATAGTTTAAAGATAAAACCTTCCACAGGCCCTTCAGCTGCCTCACACAGACTGTAGACTGGTTTCACATGAAGAATGTGGACCAGTCCACGTATAGAAATATGTAGACTGAGTCAGTGCTCAAACCCACGCAGTTTTTAGTAGGTAGGAGGGGGTGTGTCAGAAACACCTGTGGTTCTGTAGTCCTGTGACGTGCTTAAAGTCAAACAACATGAAGGGCAGTTTAGTGAATGAAGCTTCTGTTAGAGAATTCTGTGATTTCCTCTGCTTCACAGTCAGGTTTGTGCCGTGCTCATGACATCCGCCTGCAAACTGATAGCGCTAGGGAACATTTTTAGCTTTACAATGGGATTTACTAACCAGTGGGTCATGTCACAGTGGCAACGTTTATCTTTTATAAGCAAGTTGTGTTTCCCATGATTATCCAAAGGAATTGACACTAGAATGGGCAACATAGCCTCAAAATTATATCCATTTTTTAAGGAAATCCAATAATATGAATTTGATGATGTTCTAAATGAACATTTTATCAGAGAGTGCAGTTTGCAGACAGCAGCACTGATTAGTGCAAAAAAAGAGGGAGATTTTTCTTTTATTCCAGTGTGCTACTGTCAGTGATGGCACATTATAGTGTAGTAAGAGTGACACAGCATTATATACAGTGACAAAGAGTGAGTCGAATGCTTAACTCTTTAGCAGTAACTGAAGTAACTTAACAGTTCAGTAACGCGGGACGGTGTTATCACCTATTAGAATCAGTACATGGTTTGGTTCTTACACAACATCTTTCTACTCAGTTTCATCATTTACAACAGTTTCTACTACTTGTCTCATTCACGCAGTCACACACACACACACACACATTCACCTAGTGCTTTTGTCTATCAGTCACACACTTACTCTCTGAAGAATGGATCAGTATCTTACCCACTGTCCAATCTCTGCTCTTCCTGTCATTCAGTTCAGTTCAGTTGTATTTATATAGCACCAACTCACAACAACTGTCAGCTCAAGATGACAGTTGTGATTTGTCATTTGGTTGTATGGAGTATAACTAGCTGGTGGTCCAGTGATGATGGCTGAGTCATTTGTTTACTTTTGGGTCACACATCACCAGCTGATCATATTTCCTGCTCAGATGCCTTCATAGCCTTGCTGTACTGGCTGCTGTGTTTTTAACTCAACCGGTTTGTTGTTTACATTTTTAGTGGGAACAGTTTCGTGAATATTTTGCGCAGTCTTTCAGCTTTGCTCTGTGCTTTGCCATACAACCAGAACTTCTTACACCAGAGATGAGCTAATGAACATCAGGGCTACAACTCCTGAGGACTTATTCCCATCATTCATTGCCTGATCTGGCCATTCAGGTTCATAAAGTGAGACGCTGTAGGAGAGGAAAGCAAGCCGGTACGCTCCTGCATCTCCACCGCCTCCATACTCCACTACAGGGAACACAAGCTCATTGGGCAGTAAAATAGATGAACTCCAGCTATTGATGGGGAAAAACAGAGACTGCTCTAAATTGGCTGTTTTGTGTTTTATGGAAACTTGACTGAGTGGATCTATACTGGACTCTGTGGTGCAGTTGGTAGAACTCCAACTCTTCACAGCCGATTGCCACATAAAGTTCTTTGGCAAGACAAAGGTGGAGGTATCTGTTTTTGTACTTACAGTGGCTGGTGTAATGATGTGACTGTTATTCAGCAATACTGCTCCCCTCATCTGGACTCAGCTGCTCATCCCTTCAGTAATTTTTTCTCCATCTCCCTAGAAACCTCTCTCCTACTTGAAAGAGATGTAAACAAACTCAAAACAGAACACCCAGAAAGCAGCAGGACCAGGCTCAGTGTCTCCATCCACCCTGAAGCCCTGTGCTGATCAGAGACATGTCATATGCCAGCCTGCCTCCACAGGACTTATCATTACTGTTCCATTTTTTTTAAAAAAGGGATCACAAGCCGACCTGTTGCTCTGACCTCTGTAGTCATGAAGAGTTTGACCGTCTGGTACTATCACATCTAAAATCTATCACTGTCCCCCTCCTGGACCCCCTGCAGTTCGCCTACAGAACCAACAGGTTAGTAGGTGATGCTGTTAACACGGCACTCCATCTGGACTCTGCAGGAATTTATGCTAGGCTACTTTTTGTGGACTTTGGTTGTGCTTTTAATATATTCATCCCTACTCTGCTGCAGGAAAAGCTCTCCCAGCTGAATGTATCTGCTTCCACCTGCAGGTGGATCATTGACTTCCTGTCTTTCATTGCATCAGCACTGGTTCCCCTCAGGGCTCTGTCTTTACTTCTCTAATCTTCTTCTTGTATACCAACAGCTGCACCTCCAGACACCAGTCTGTAAACTCCCGAAGTTTGCAGATGACACCACCCTGTTGGGCTCATCTCATGTGGAGATGAGTCCGTCTATATGAGGGAGATTGACTGGTGACTTTGTGCAGTGACAACAACCTGGAGCTTAAATGTTGTGAAAACAATGGAGATGACAGTGGAAACCAGACACCCCTCCCAAACATCAGCCTCCTCATCAAGAAGACACAACAGAGAAAATACAACCTGCCAACGTCAGTGATGGTGCAGTTTTTCTCCATCAATGAATCTATTTTCACCTCCTCCATCACCATGCTGCTGGCAAGGACAAATGCAGACTGCAGCATGTCATTCCCTCCACTGAGAAGGTGATTGGCAGCAATCTGCCTCCCTACAAGACTTGTAGACCTCCAGGACTCTATAAAGTGTGGGGTCGGCAACAATCTTGCGTGCCTGTCTCAAACTGTTTGTGACACTGCCCTTTGGCAGGAGGCTGTGGTCCTTTAGAAACAACATGTCATGGCATAAGAACAGTTTTACACAATGACACCGCAACAAATTCCTCTTTTGTACAAAGTTGCCAATAAAAAGGAACAGATATAAATACATTATATTGCCAAAAGTATTCACCCATTCAAATGATTGAATTCAGGTGTTCTAATCACTTTCATGGCCACAGGTATATAAACTACAGAGATTTGTATGCTGAGCCTGGGACAGAATGGATGGAGAGCCAGTTCATAACATATTGTATTTTTCATTTGCACCTCTGTAAGAAAAAAAATGAAGAAAATTTTTGCTATTGTCATCAGAAAAAACAGAAAGAGCAGGTTAAGCAGGTGATATGATCATGGTAATGGTATCAAATAATAATGTGGGATTGTGCTGACTGTTAAAAGCCAACTTAGATAAACTTAAAATAGACAGCTCTGTTTTCTTTGACCAGGGCTGATAGAACCAGGTGGTTGGTAGATTAGTTTTTACCTCCAACTCTAACAAGCTGAAGTTCAAAGATGTAAAATTGTCCTGAATCCACTGCGATGCTAACTGGTGAAACACTCCAAACACTAATATTAGTTCTCCTCCTCCTCTGCCAGGGTCCCAGTACCCATCTGAACCGACCCCAGTGAGGCCTCTGTAGTCTGTCCTGCACTACCAGGATTCAGTTCAAAAAGTCAAACTTTATGAAACCAACAAAATCATTCAACGCAAAATGATTTATTGGCTCCAGAATGACAGAGCGCCATCTGTAAAGTTGCACAGTTATCAACAGCAGCAGCCAGCAGAGAAAGCGCAGGTTGACTCTGAGTCGTCAGTGAATGCTGAGGACCAGAGACCAGCTGACAAGGAGAGACAGGGTGAAGCAGCCTGAGGTAGCACGACCCGGAGAATCAGTCTATAGATGAGAAGTTCCAGTCAGTGGGGCACGCAAGGGAACAAGTGGTCAGATGCATTGTCACTGAGCACAGCCTCAGTTTTCCTTGGATCCCAACTTTTTTTCCTGCTCAATCCCATCCAGGAAATCATCTCCTTCTCATTTTCAAGCAATACAAAATGCTGCCACCAAAATACTTATGTTTTCTCCTAAGTGAGCTCATATTACTCCTGCTTTATACTCTACACCGGCTACTTATATACAGAGCACTAAATGGAAATGCAGCAATCTCTTATCTCAGAATGTGTTACTCATGTGAGATTGGGGTGGGGATGGAGCCTTTCAGCCAGTGGCAAAAGAAATTTTGGAAAAGTCCCACTTTGACTTCATATATCCAACTCTGTGGACTCATTCTTATTGTTTAATAACTTTCTTTATAATGTTTTCTTTCATGCTGTGTTTGAACTTGGCTTTATATTCCTGTTAACTGTGCTTCCATTTTACATTCAATCGTATTGTTATTATTAATAAGAACATTTGAGCACTTTATGCCAACACATATGTGAAAAGCACTTTAAAAATAACCTTATTGTTTACTTAACAAAGAGCACCAGTGTGACTCTTCTGTACCCCACTAATCCCTAAAACCTGATTACAGCCCTGAATGCAGCAACGTCAACATTTCCATATATCATATGACAGTACTGGTAAAGTAGCATGCCACCCTAGAGTCCAAGATACAGATGAATGCTCTGATAAAGCACACATTCTTCACACTGAGTACGCCCAGTATAGCTTTCAAGGCAAACATGCCAGTGAGAGGTCTAATACTCTCTGCAGTTAATTATAGAGCTAAAGGGAGACACAGTATTTGTGTTAATATCCACCGGAAGAAGCATAATGTTGGGAGACAAAACAAAGTCAGCGTGGATCTCATTGTGTAATTACTGTTTGAAAGTTTCTGTTATAATATACAGTTGGGACAAAAATTAAACTCCAGAGTTTGAGTTTTAGGTCATGTCTCAGTTTTAATTAAACAAGTTTTAAACATTTCTGCTGTCGCCAGGCATCACTAGCCCCAAACAGCACACAAACAGTACGTGCCTTGTCAGTACATCATGCAAGTTGGAGATGTCACGATACAAGAAGACTGATAGAATGACATAATTTTTAAGATTTGTTACTACAGTACATAAAAATAACAAATATTCCATAATATTTGAAATATGTTTAAACTCCTGTACCAGTACTGTCCCTACAGTTCCCTGTGATTTTTCCTTGTTTGTGTTTCCATTCATGAAATGGGCACTGTACCTTTACATCCATATCAAAGGTGGTTACTGAGGATGGCCTTTACAAAGGGCTTGGATTTTAGCACTGAAATGAAACAAAATCTCAAATTTTACTCTCAGTGTTCAGATTAGCCTTATCTATGTAGATTAATTTACTTCTATACTATACTATACTAATATAAAGCACTTTGAGGTGATTGTTGTGTGGTTTGGTGCTATATAAATGGAATTGAATTGAATCGATAATTAGGAATGCGTTAAGAGGATCCCCTCTTTGATTTAACGCAATGCAGTCACTGCTACTGAGAGAGAAGCTACAGGAAATGACGATAAACAGGTCCAGATAAATAGAGAGGGTTGTGTCAGAAGGGCATCCGGTATAATATCTTTGGTAAATAAAACATGCAGATGATCAAGAATGAGATTTCCATATCAGATCAGTCGAACCCACAGCCTCCAGTGCTGTTGGCCATGAGGGTGCTGGTGGAAACTGTGCTTCTGCTGGCTGAAAACAAAGAAAGAGGAGAGGAGGCAGTGCCAGAGAAACAAAGGCAGGGTTGTGGAGGTGAACGCAGGGACTCTAAATGTAGGGACTATGACTGCTAAAGTGAGAGAGATGCTGATATGATGATGAGAAGAAAGTTAGATATAGTGTGCATGCAAGAGACCAGGTGTAAGGAACCCAGGCCAGGGGCATTGGAGGTGGATGCAAGCTGGTCTCTCATAGTACAGATAGGAGGAGAATAGAGTGGGGGTCATGTTGAAGGAAGAGTTTGTGAACAGTGATCTGAAGTTGAAGAGTGTCAGACAGAATCATGACTCTGAAGCTGGAAATGAAACAGCCGATGTTGAATGTTGTCAGTGTGTATGCCCCACAGGTTGGATGTGAGGGAAGGGTCTAAAACTTTTCTAGATAGGTTTTAGTGACATCACACTTTTTCTATGCTTAGAGGTGACATCGTATCAAACTCTTAAGGACTACGGTCTTCAAAAATGAATCCCAAAGTATGTTAAATAGGGTCAACAGGTTTTGTTATCCATTCCTAGTTAGTGGCTGTAGCAATTAGCCACGCTTAAAATGCTTAGTATTACATTTAGCTAAAATTGTAAACACAGATTGAGCCTCACTATTAAACATCATTTGATGTGTGTTTGTTGCCTTCGACAGTTTGATGCAGAATATCGTCGTTTTGCTCTGAAGAGAAATGGTCCAGGGGGCTTCAAGGAGTTCTACCGCCTCCTCCAAACGATTCATCACATCCCTGGTGTTGATGTGCTACTAGGATATGCAGATGTCCACGGGGACCTCCTTCCAATCAACAATGATGAAAATTACCACAAAGCCATTGCATCAGCCAATCCGCTGCTCCGCATTATTATAACCAAGAGAGGTAAGAGAAAAAATGAGGTAAAAATACATTTTTAGTTAAATAAAAATTACTTTGCAAAGCAATCTAAATGACAGATCTCTTAAACATGTTATATGTCTTTCTACACATTGATCCTACAGTTATTTTAATGGCTTCCAAAGTATATTTCATGTCTTTTTAAAATGTTTTCGTCCCTCCAAGGGAATAACATCAGTGATTAATTTACTAGTGGACGATCACATCCATCTGTCTATCCATTTTCTTCCGCTTATCTGGGGCCACATTGTTGGGTCAGCAGCCTAGGCAGAGAAGCCCAGACCTCCCTGTCCGTAGCCACTTCTTCCAGCTTTTAATGGAGAACACCGAGGCGTTTCCAGGCCTGCCGTTACCCATCAGCTGCCTCTGAAGTCCCGTAAGCTAACCAAGCCCAACAGGACTCCTTCTTTAGCGTGTTGGCTCCCTTCACCTCGGTTATCTACTATCAAGTTCCGAGGTTACCACCATGACAGGCACCGGCCACCTTGCAGCTGCAGCTCAGTGCAGTAGCCTGTAGCCTCATTGCAGCAATGGAGGTGCTGCACATGGTCCATTCGGACTCAATGTCCTTAGCCTCCCTCGGAATGTTGTTGAAGCTCCGCCTGAAGTCGGAGTTTAAGATCTCGTGGACCGGGGGCCTCTGCCAGGCATTCCCAGCACACCCTCACTGTACATGAACAATCCCATTGCTCTTATTTTTAATCAATCACTGCTTACCAGTTTTAAAGAATTTACAGAATCTGATAATTCTTGTCCACCAATTTAGGTCATGCACGCATTTTTCCTGAGCTTTTCCCGAGCTCACTTCACTGACTCCAGCTGGTTCTAAACAATTTATTCCAGTGCTGGCATTTAATCTGACTGCTTGTTAAATTTCATGTTAATTTTGAAATCATTTCATTGCTCAAAAGTACACTGAGGGCTTATTTGTTACCCTTATGTGTCTGGATTTTACTTCACTGAATCGGCAGAGGTCAGCAAGCTCAGTATTCCCACTGAGAATGGCAGCTTCTTCCTATTTTAAATCTCTTTTCAAAGCATACAAATCAAGAATTAGTGAAAAATTGGCACTTCCATCCACTGTTAAACCAAAGAACATAACCCACAGTAATGTATTCAAGTTTAAAAAGACAACCACCCTTGTGACACTGACAACTATGACGTCACTAACCAGTTAAACTGGCTTCGTAGCACACACCTCTGGTAGCACATACTTTGTGCCCAAGACATACCAAGAGTGAATAATTCAAGAAAGACAAAAATGCATCCTGTAATTTTACAGGTCGACTGTAATGTTAGTGAGCTTTATCGTTTACCCCTAAGACACTACATATGAAGCAGAAACACTTATACACTTATTACACCTGCTGACATTGGTGATGTTTATCCATCCAACATTATGGATTATGTGAGTGTTTTCTAATACACCGTACCATTGTTGTCTCCCAGTACACCTTTTCATGCTATGTCATAACTCAGGATGTGATGACATTAATGTGCTGCGTAGCAGGCTGCTAGAGATCAGAGTCACAGACAGCTGCCAGCAAATCAGATCAGCTCTATGGTCTGGGGATCTAAAAAGGAAGAGAGCTCAGGAAAACAAGGCCCTGGAAACACAGAGACAGCAAACATGTGCATGTGCAATACGTTTGTTGAAATCTTATTGAGGAGGCTTGTATTCGCTTTGTTTACTCTTTTAAACTCTGTCGTCCAGAAATGATAAAATCCTGTAAATCCCACTGAAAAATCTTAAACCCATGCATTGCATTAGGAGTAGTGGCGTCACTAGAAAGGATTAGGACTTGAGTAAGGCAGCTAAAAATCATTCCTGAAGTGTAATCCCATTTATTCACTGCATCCACATGATTGGCAAAATTTGCACAGCTGAAGGAAAGAGCAACAGGAAGATTAAGTGGTGACAATAGTTTGTTTTTAACTAACCAGGTCTGTCTCAAATAAGTTCAGTAAGGATCTCACATTTTATTAGTAGTCTTTGTAGCAGCTCTGTTGCTCACTAGTCTCACTTGTAAGTATTCAGTGAAATGTAAAAGACTTCTAAATGACTGAAGACATCATCAAACCCTTTATGAAGGCAACAAAAAGTTCATTTTACACTGAAAACAGCAGATATGTGTTTCCTTTCCTACACGCTTCTCTCTCCACTTTAATTCCTCTTACTTGGCTACATTCATTTTGACCTTTACTACAGCTTGTCTTTGTGCGTTAGCACATGTGTGCATTTGTGAGTATGTTGTGTTTGTGAGTGAGGGATAGACAGGGGAATACCACAGGATAGAAACCCATCTGCTGCTTTAAGCCATTAGCCATGAGTGAGTTTATTTTACTTTTTGGAGCAAGATAATCTCACTCAGTTTATATGACTGATGTCTTTTGAGACTTCATCAGTCATATCAGTTCCATGCAATGCCACTACACTGTGTGTGTGTGTGTGTGTGTGTGTGTGTGTGTGTGTGTGTGTGTGTGTGTGTGTGTGTGTGTGTGTGTGTGTGAGAAAGAGAGAGAGAATTGTTGACTTGCACTTGTTGATTACCTTAACACATTAACACTGCAACAAAGTCTACATCGAGTAGACTTTGACACAACAAAGCAGTTATATGTATTTTAATCAGTAAAGTTTCATGTGAAGAATCAAAGTGACTATGGGCTTATTAATACTGACAGAAGAGCGGTGTGTACATTTGTGCTGCTCCAACCCTGAGTATGTTGCTGAGGTGATTTATGATAACTAAGAGACAAAATACCTTTTTTCACATCACAATTTTGCATCTGATAAACTAAAATGAGTCAAACTGGAAACTACTGATACGGTAACTGAGTTACTGATGATAACTTGTGGCATGAGGATATGTTGTCTGTAACACGTGGCACAGAAATGTCATGTTGCACTGAGAGAAACACTAAGAAATGGAGCGGCGGTAAATAGACTAAGTAATCATGGTTGATGGGTTCAAAACAATCAATTTAAACAAAATAACACTGACATTAACACAATAGATGCACCAGTTGTCTGATGCATTGTTTTAAATGTAAAACAGCGTCACAGTGATTACAGGAGCTTTTATCACAATTGAAAAAAATTATACAGTTTCTGACCTAATAGTCTGCTTTTAAATAGGAGGTGAAGTAACAAAGCCCTTACAGAATGACGCTCCCTCTTTGTCTACACTGTGCACAGGCCTGTTGTTGTCCTGCACTGCATATGGCCATATGGCACCCCCTTGGGCTCCAGATGGTGGGCCACTACAGAGTGAGGTCACACTAGAAAGAAACATACAAATGCTCATGACAGCTGCAGATAACAGAAACATGGTACATTAGGGACAGATATATGGGGCACTAAGACACAGACACAGATTTACTCTTTACGGCCATCCTGAATACCATTTCTGAGCTCCAAAGCTTATGATAGTAGTAAGCAGCAAATATTTAAAGCCAGCAGAGAGGGGGAGGTTCATGTCTGATCTTATAACTTTGATGTTGTCTGTCAATGTCACTCCACATACATGTTAGAGATCGTGGGTTCACTGTAATTTCGGCTACAGTGCGTGTTTTGGTGATTTTATTATGAGGTCATAGAGTGTTTTATAAAATGGGAAAAGTTGTGGAGATGAGCGAAGGCCCTGCAGCCAGAATGCCAAGACTACTGATTAATAAGTAAGCCTGGCTGGGCTAAAATTTTGGCAGAAAACAGTCACACAGGTCGATTATGCCTGCTGTTACCATCATTAGCGGTCACGCTAGAACTGGACTGAAAATCAGTATCAGTGCCAACAGGTTGGATGGAGGGATGAATCCAAATTTGAAATTTTTGGTTCAAATTGTCACCAGTTTTTACTGTATGGGGCGGGTCAAAAAATAAACAAAGATGAGATTCAGTAAAAAATGTGCAAAGTAAAGCTAGCATGTCACAGATCTGCCATAAATATTTACAGTTATTTGAGACTGTTGTGGGGCAGTGATCATTCCTCACTGTTTCCTGTAGGAGCTGGTCTAACTGGGACACACTGGAATCTAACAACTTTGTATGAGGTTTAGCACATGTTTAACTATTTCTGAAAAAGACTATATTTTGTGTCCTTGTATATAACATACAAGAACACAAAATAATGATTAATACAGGTTGATTTATAGTGGTCCAAAAATAGCTTTTGCAAAATTAGAGGGATCTGATTGCATTATATGTGCATTTAGAGAAGGCTTAACCATGTTTGTGTCTTCATGCTTTAGTCTGGCTCTGTATGCCTTGATAGGAAACATTATTTTTGTGCATTAACCATTAATGCTGCTTAATGCTGCTTCCTAATGACCTAATGTGTGCGTGCACGTGTACACACACACATGCACACACACACTGGCAGCCATACATTCCCATTAACCCTGTTTGACAGCTAATGTGCATCAGATGATGAGTTGTTTCTCCCTCTTCTCCATGCTTTTCTCTTTCCGTCATTCCGGGAAAAGTTCAAAGATTTTATAGAACTGGGTAGGAGTTTTGAAAAATGTGAAAATTGTGAAAGTTTACATTTTTTGACATTTTAATAGTTATTCTGCGTGTTACAACTGCTATCTGTATCTGTAGTTCAGTTAGCTAAAATGGCTGGTTTTATTCCTGACAAAATATGGATACAGACAGAATGGAACTGTGGGAAAAAATGATCTGAAGCTAGTAGTAATATTGTGTTTATATCTGAGACTGACAGTACACACAAGAAAGCTCTGATCTTTTGAATGTAGAAATTTTGGAATGAAAAGTTCAACTATCCAATATCAAATACTTGTGGAAATGAGCTTCTTCTAAAGGGTGGCTGGCCTCCCTTAGAGATCGGGTAAGTTCGGCCATCTGGGAGGGACTCAGAGTAGAGCAGCTGCTCCTCCACATTGAAAGGAGGTAGTTGAGGTGGTTCGGGCATCTAACAAAGATGCCTCCTGGGTGAGGTGTTCTGGGCATGTCCTACCGGGAAGAGGCTGCGGGGCAGACATGCTGGAGAGGTTATATCTCTCGGCTGGCCTCGGAGCACCCTGGTGTTCCCCTGGACAAGCTGGAGGAGGTGGCCAGAAAGAGGTAGGTCTGGGCTTCTCTTTTTAGGCTGCTGCCTCCGCGACCCAGCCCGAATAAGCGGAAGAAGATGGATGGACTTTATTTTTTCCAATTATGGTGTAAATAATACACCGTAACTATAAAGTTTAACACTTTAAAAGAATCACAAATCAGCAAGTAGCCATTAACAGTCTCCATTCTTTTGTGTCTTCTTAAAGAGGATGAACCTATCATTTTTGGCACCAACTCCCTTCAGAGGCGTAGAAAGGGGCTGGGCTTAACGAGCCTGCGCGCCACTGGCTCAGGCTCCACCCACTCAAAGGGCAGATCTGGCCTCATGATTGGACCGCCAAAGAACTTCAGACAGATTTCTTCAATCATCGATGTGGACATTTTGCCTGAGACACATCGACGGGTACGACTTCACAAGCATGGCACTCAAAAACCACTTGGGTTCTACATACGTGACGGCGTGAGCGTGCGGGTGACACCGCAGGGCGTTGAGAAGGTAAGGTTTGTTACTTTGCTTTTACCCTGCTTACAAGACAGTATTCTGCCTTTAATGCTGACAAAATTGATGAATTATTTCCCTGTAATTCACCAATGATGTACCAATTGTGCAGTTATGATTGGGCCAGTAAGATACCCCATCTCAAAATTTCTCTGAAAATATCAGCAAGTAGCACCTTCATGCAGACATAAAGATAAAAGTTATGAATATATTAATATCAGCTATAATAGCTTAAAGCTGTTGTCTCATATTTGTATCTTTCTTCTTGCTCCTGAAGGTTCCAGGGGTGTTCATATCTCGTCTTGTGCGTGGTGGGTTAGCAGAAAGCACTGGGCTGTTGGGTGTTAACGATGAGATCCTCGAGGTCAATGGCATCGATGTAGCAGGAAAATCTTTGGATCAGGTAAATGCCCTTCCAGGCTCAAAGAAAATTCAATATATACAGAAGAAGATTCAGAATTAACTTGATCAAGATTCAAGTGTGCTTCTTTTTCATGAACAGTAAATGTACTTTGCCCATAAATTACAACACAGTCGCACTTGATTGTGTGTGTCATTTTTTTTCTTTATCCGTAGTGGATACAAGCTTACAAAGTAACAGTTCAAAAACAGCTTAGGAAATAAAAGTAGTAGTAATGATTAGACCAGTGTTTGTATGTATCAAAGTAACGGGGTGTTAAGTCACTCTATATGCACTCATTAGAGCATTTTAATGATAATCAATCAGAGCTGGTAATCTGGCATACTGGTAGGCCAACACACTTTTGGGCCAATGGGTCAATTGAAGCGCTGCTGTGCACTGGCTTTACAAGCACTGACAGCAGCCCATTCGTTCATTTTAATTTCTGACAATGTATTGCCCAATCAAGTCTCTAAAAGCTACCGGGCCCTCCCATACTTACGCACACGCACCTTGTAGAATACAGTTTGGTAAAACGAATGGCTAATTTCACCATGGGCCACTCCTAATGGCTAAAGATTAGCTTTTAACTGTCACATGTTTCAGTGGAGTGCAAAAGAGAAACTTTTGTGTTACAGCAACATGATAAAGAGTAAAAATAGTAAAGTCTACAATAAATAACAAATAAACTAACAAATAAAGTAAGACTGGCATTGTGTAAGAGTGGAGTGCAAATTGCACAATATTATATTCATAAAAAATATTATATGTTATATAATATAATATGTACACTGTAAATCTAAGAAAAACAGCTGCATTTTTCATCGCATCATTTAAGCCCTATTTGACTATCTCATCTGTCATTTTAGGTCACAGACATGATGGTGGCAAATAGTCACAACCTTATTGTGACCGTAAAGCCAGCTAACCAGAGGAACAATGTTACGCATCGTAGGAGTAAAACCTCCGTAGGTAACTCGGGTTCTCTGGGCTCAGTTGGATCTACAGGCTCTGCCGTGTCACATGACTCACAAAGCCCCGCCTCTCTGAGCAATCCCATCACTGCAAGGTTTGTCATGCATATTATCTTTTTTTGGGCCTGCTTATGAACAGAAAGAATGGGGACTGTGGCAGCACTGGCATACATCATATCTGTTAAAGGAGAAAAAGAAAAAGAAGTTTGTGCTTAAACGTTTAGTGAAATGAAACTTCATTGAAACTGTTGTTTTGAAATAATAATGAGAATCATGAATTTTAGAAAAATGCAGTCAAAGCTAGCTGAATTCTCAACTTTATTCATAAGTTGCCAATAGGAACGGACACGTGCAGTTTATATTGCATTCACTTTTTTATTAATCATTTGGCATGTGTTTTGTTACCACAGCAACAGCATTGCTGAGGGTGACAGTGATGATGGTGGTGACGATGATGATGAAGGTGACCTCATTCTGGAGAATGACTGCCTGACACCCTACGACTCCCACCGGGTCACTAACAGCACCACTATGCCGGACAGAGACTCACTTAGCAATGGGCCACATAGCTACACCGTGGGTAGGCCCCTCCCACAGAGTGTCTCATTGCCCAGTAATGTCGGAGCATCCCTGAGAGACAGCGCCATGATGATCTCCAGCCACAACGGAAACTCCACCCACACAACTAGTAGCAGTGAGGAGAGCATGAGAGAAGATAGCAACGTAACAGCACTGTAACCACGACAGCACTGTTCCATTGAGGACTATGAATGTTAGCGCAACAGTGCTGAAACCACGGCAAATACAGGTGGCTGTGGTCCTGTTAGATAACAGACTTCTAAAAGAGGAGGGAGCTGACGTATGAAGCACTGACAGGACCTCAGGAGGGACCAGTCACAGTCTTCTGCTAGTTTACACTTTACCTCTTTCCCGCCTTGGTGGATTGTTGGCTTTTATTGTATGAAGGCATAGGAACACTGTATACGATGCAACGTATGGCTGAAGTTTTCAGCTTTGTCAGGTTCTATAAACAACAGTAATTATATCATTTTTTAAAAATATTATATTATGGAAATGTTTAAATACCATAATGTATTAACAGATTAATATTGACCATTTAATTAAAAAATTAAATAGTTATAAATCCTCTTGTAAAAGCCATAAGTCACTTTGATGTCAATGTATTTTAAAAAATGTCTTCAAACCTATAGTTGACTTTCATGTTTTATTTTTGCGGCACCACAACAACCAGTGCAAGTAGCACTACGTCACTTTGGTATCTCTAACTGTGAAACTTTGTGTCTGTGTAGTAATCTTAATGCTTAGTGTGGCAAACATGGCGGATACACATGAAAGCTTCATGAAATGAAGCAAAGTGAAGAAAGTTGCTTTGGCATTTGGGTAACTGGGTCTTAGACTGCCGACATCTCAGAATTACACTTAGTTCTGGCTCTGTTTCTCTCTCTGCTGTAACTTTGTCAAAAGCTTTTAATACTTCAGGAAAAGCACAGCAGTAAATGAACAAAGGTACCATGTATTTTAACCCAATACTACTTACTTTACGTTGATTACATTTAAATAAAAGTTTACTGTGATTTAAAGCAGAAGCATCAGTAAGTCAGTCTGTTTTATGAGTGGTTCTGACAGTACCCATTGTCCACAGCTGAAAGTCTTCAAACCCCTGCAGCATTTGAAGAACACAAATAAAATCCTGTTTCCTCACAATGGGAGTTGAGATGTGATTTGCTAAAAGTATATTTATTACTCACCTCACCATTTACCGTTTGTGTCAATCTTTCCGAACTTCAAATTCCTACACAGAAAACTAGCAAGAGGAGACACCTCCAAGACACAAGACAAATTATTTAGCACTTGTTGTTGTACTTATCAAATAGTGACCCAATTGTACTATAAAGCACCAAATTTTACCAAATGTAAATTTTATTGGTGAACAATTGGTTTTAAAAAAAAAAAAGTAACAACGAGGGGAATGTCATAATAATTTCTTGCAATTATTCACATCACATGTGCACAACTGGCTGATTTAAAGTTTCACGTTTAATTGTTTGTTGTTTTTTTTTTATTTTAAACTAAAACCAAAGGAAATGAAAACTTTTGTTCCCAATCACGTGTTACTGAAAAATGTGTGGCCGGTTGGTTGTCACATTGCTTGTTACTGGCACATTAGTGAGAACTGTAGAGTTGTGTTAATATCACACATTTGACCTGACAAACTTGTTCTTTTTTTTTTTACTGGTGAATTTGTGGACCCAACATAAAACTTTGAGAGGAAGAAGTTTTATGTAATTGTCATGGGTCAGAGTAATTTTTCATATGGTTTTCCTTATTATATTACATGAGATATTCAATTTCAAAGGGACTACCTACATAAATAAATCTTAAATAAATGAAATAAATGATAGATCACAAAACATTAGCCATTAAAAAAATATGGACACTTATTAAAAAGGTGAAGTTAATTTGAGTCAGTCTAAACTAAACAAACTAAAGCTAGTGGTAGCTAGGTAAATCTTTATAAAGAGGTGTGTAACAACAAACCCTGCTATGGGGTTGGTTGTTACACAGTGACAGAGTAGTAATTACTTTTTTTTGGGTTAGAGTTAGAGACCCATTTTGAACCAGCATCTTAAGCTTTGATTTAATAAAAGAATGATTATTGAACGCCGCTGTCCGAGGGGAGGAAGAAATGGCAGGGCCTTCACAGGAGACCCCGTTGATTCTGGCAATTCGCTCCACGGATGATTTTCCAGGAGGAGGAGTCTGGAATGACACTCCACGCTCCACCTGGGACCAAGTGATGAAAATTTATGTTTAAATTGTGCACCCTGATGTTTCGCTGAAATTTCTGAATTTTGTAATGATTAGGACCTAACGTGACATGAAGCAAGGCAAACAGACAAACTGACTACTGAACAAAGGAAGACAGAGGACTTAAACATGGAAAGGTAACGGAGTAGTGGAAAGTGGAAACACCTAGAGAAACACAACTGTCACCAATTAACCTGACACCACAGGGGAAGCAAAACTAAACACACTAAACATGGAAGCACAAGACTTTCAAAATAAAACAAAAACCATGGAGAGATGTAGACGTGACAACACAAGCTTGACAATAGGATGTGGAACACGCAGACATGAAAGACATGACAGACTGGGGGAACGGAAAGGAACACAAGGAGAGGAACATGGGAACAGATAAGGGGGGTGAGGCTAAACTAAAAGTTATACATAGAGGACAAGGCAGACCTAAACAGGAAAATGACACATAAACCAGAGAGCATGAATGACAATATTAACTAGACTAAACCCCAACTAATAATAACACTAGAACTGAACATTATCCACAATACATCAAAAGAAGGTCAAAGGTCATGACCTGGATGTAAAATGTCTCATCAATAAGCAACTGCATGAACAGAATCTCCACTTAGGGTAATTTATAGGTTTTGGTCAAAGATAACTTCATGAGCAAATTTCTTTGAAAAAGAAAACGTGTCACATCTTCAGTAACTTTTCATTTATAAATTCCTTCATAATAATTCACACCAGGTTCTCTGTGACCTCATGGTCCTCTTTAAAATGCACTCTTAAAGTAATATGTGTGTTTATATCATGTATGATACATCTTGAAAATCTGTTTTCTTATAATGCATGTGTTTTGTTGTTATAGTTGCACATCAGCCAGAATACTGCATGCTTTTGCATCAACCCATACACTGCTTCCTATTGGATAGTCATGGGAAGTGGAGTTTATTCCACTCTCCATATTGTTTTTAAACTACTTTCCTCACAGTTGTATACAGAGGTAACACGTGCTTTTACTCTGCATTTTATTCCTGCAGCAAAAAAAAAGCATCAATCCCAGCAGGATGAAGAGTGGTCATATATTAAGAAGCCACCAAATGCTTTCATGCTGTACCTGACAGAGCAGAGGTCAAAGGTCATGGCTGAGCTGAACATCACTAGAAGTGCAGCGGTAAATGCAGTTGTGGGAGCGAGTGTAAGTGTGTAAATCTGCATATATATACGTGTTCATATATATATACTGTTCATGCTTTATGCTGGTGTTTGTGCATGTGTAGAAGCTGTCCTATAGTTATGTGTTGTAGCAGTGTAGCAGTGTAGCTGTGTACTTATGCATGCTGACAGTGTGTTCTTATGATCTTCTGTCCACAGTGGAAGTTACTGTCAAATGAACAGAAGGCCACATATTTCAGTCAGGCAGAAACAGAAAGATGCCGTCACACCAAAAAGAATCCTGATTGGTCCACCAAAGACACTACGCATGTCCAAACTGCCAACATGCAGTCCGTACATGTGTGCATCACTGAACTGAACAATGAAAAGATCACTGAAAAAAGTTTGTATCAGCTCCTGAAAATTCTATTGTGTTTGTTTTTAGGGCAAAAAGAGGAAGAGAATCTGACATTGCACCTCTAGCACAAGTGAGACAAGATTTCAAAGATTTGTTGAAACAAAAATGACTGAACAGGAAGTTTAACAAGCCAAGAAGCTTTGTGTGAGGCCAGATCAGATACAGCCATCTTCTTCTCATTCATCTGTGACAGAGCCATGTCAGCAGCCACAGACACAGCCAGGTGTTACCAACCTGCCTCACCAGCAGTCAGCGTGTGTGCAGCTGACAAACACACAGACACTCATCAACATACCTGTGTGCAAAGTAAATTGGATCCCCTCTGCCTCCCATCAACACCTCCCTGCATCCACATCCTCCTCTGCTGCACCCCTTCAGCTCCAGACAGAGACCACCTTTGTGAGAAAAACTGGTGAAGACTCCTCCTCTCCTCATGCAACCTCTGCTGGCTGACGCTTGACTGTCAGTGCCAGTACCAAAGAAAGCCACCCCTTCTGGCCTTAATGAATTCAGACCATTATTGACCATCACATGTCATCAAGGTGCTGAGGAGACTGGTTCAGCTTGCAGGTGAAACATGTTCTCAACCCTCTTCAGTTTGCTTTCCAGCTTCTTGTGGGGGTGGATGATACTGCTATCTACCTGTTGCAGCATGGTCACTCTCACCAGGATGGTACTGGTGACATGCGAGTATCATGTTTGTTTTTATATTCCTGTGCCTTCATCCAACTAGCTTGCAGAACTAGGGGGGAACCTATATAGATGACAATCGGAAGGAGTGTGTTTGGAGGCGTGGTCCTGCTCCTGAAATTCCGATACATAATCTCCAATACAATTCCATAAATATTTCGAGATGTTTGACTCTAGTGACTCAAACCAGGCAATAGTAGGTGTGGTGGGGTATGGTTTGTGTCTCAGCTGAAGGGGCGGGGTGTAACAGTAGGTTCAGGGGGCAGTGCTACGGAAGGCTGGAGGTCACAGCTGTCTCTCATTAATTTCATCATGTCGCCACTATTTGAGTAGCATGCCGGGACCCAGAAGAGAGGAGTGGGAGCAGACAGAGGACAAGAAGAGGGCAAACTTAGCCAACAGAAGCTGAAAAGCTACACCTCTGTCATTGTATATAAAGCCCTATAAATAAATCGTCACTAATAGTACAGTGCTGAGTGTGACGGGTCTTACTTCCACAGTGATGCTAATGGACCAGCAACTGGCGTAGCCAGCAAATGCGCCAATATCGTGGTTGAGTTACCGCCATGCATATGGAACAGATGGCAGTGCACCAACAACAGCTAGAACGGTAGCAGAACTAGGCTGAGTGCTACACCAAAGTTTTGGGCAATCTGTTTTGCTTGTTCTGGCACCTCCTGGGCACCACCGCTGCCCCTCCTGGAACCCACAGTGACACTCTAACAGATGAAGGGGACAACCACTGGCCTTCCTGGAGGTTTTTCAGGCCATTGCAGAGACGTGCAAGTGGCCCAAAGGGAAATGACTGCTGCAGCTGCTTCTGTTGCTGCCTAATGAACCAGCCGGCCACCTGTTACCTTTAATAGAGGTCCAATTTTAGTGCATTGGCACGGACCTCATCGGGCACTTCACTCACTTTTTATTAGTTCTAAAGGATGCAACACAATATCGCAAAGAAGGGCTGCTGTGCAACATTTCTGCAAAAAGTCTTGCGCAGGCACTGTTTCAGGTTTTCTCTTTAGTTGGCATTCTGAAGGAGATACTCACTGACAAGGGCACGGCGTTCATGTCTCACACACTAAAAGAACTATGTGAATTATTGGGCATTAGATCTGTTTCACC